CACTCCTCCCAGCCACCATGGCCCCTCTCAGCTGAGGAGTACCGGCCGCTGCTCCCCTCCCGGGAGACCTCCCTGCGCATCCTCACCGCTGCCCTCAGCCCCTTGGACTACGGCAAGTGGAGGAGGAAGCCCTGGTACTGGCGGCTCTTCAAAGTCTTGAAGGTGATTGGGGGGGACACAAGCCGGGAGGACCCCCTGCACGGGGTGTCCCCCTCCCCGCTGGCCCCTGGGGCTGCGTCACCCCTGGGCTTTGCAATGGGGACGGTGGGAGGGGGAAGGGTGGTGGGGCTCCCTTCTTGGGGGGTCTCCCGTCCCTGCTTACGGCTGTTCCTCCCAGGTGCCCGTGGAGCTGGCGCTGCTGCTCACCGTCCCCGTCGTGGACCCCGACAAGGATGACTTGAACTGGAAGAGACCCCTCAACTGCCTGCACGTCCTCACCAGCCCCCTGCTCTGTGTCCTCACCCTCAAGTCGGGCGCCTGTAAGAGCCCGGGGCAGTCCTGGGCACCTGGGAGGGGATGGGACCGAGATGGTCACCAAAGCCCTGGGGAGGGGAGGACGGCCCACCCAAGAGCCAAGCTTGGGGGCTGGGGGTGGGGGTTTGGGCCCCCCAGCATCCCGATCCTGGGGGGAAAATGGGGCAGGCCTGGCCTGCCTGGGGAAACTGAGGCATGGAGGGGAGCAGCCCCACGAGGGCTGAGGGTAGAGGTGGCTTCACCTCGTACCAGGACCTTGATGGGACCCTCGCCCAGCCCACGGGTTCCTGCGGGGCTGCTCTGATGCCCCCCCTCTCTCTGCCCCGCGCAGATGGGCTGTACCAGATCCAGGGCGTCTTCCCTGTCTGGGGACTGGTCACGCTAGTTGGCTCTGTCCTGGCCATCATCATCTTCATCACCACAAGCAACGAGGAGCCCCCAAAGTACCACTGCGTAAGGTCCCCCCTGGCCCTGAACACCCACCGGGGACCACCCCAGCCTGCTCCAGACTGGGCTGAGGGTCCTGGGAGCAGAGCAGCACCCCCCTCCTCGGTCTCCAGTGCCCCCAGGAGGGACACGGCCGGCTGGAGATGTCCAGGGCCCTGCACGATGCGCCCAGGGACCGGCTTACCCCTCTGCCTGGCAGGTATTTGCCTTCCTCGGCTTTTTGGCCAGTGCCATGTGGATCAACGCGGCGGCCACGGAGCTGGTGAACATCCTCCGGACCCTGGGCATCATCTTCCAGCTGAGCAACACCGTGCTGGGCTTGACGCTGCTGGCCTGGGGCAACAGCATCGGTGGTGAGGGCTCTGCTGCGTCCCGGTGCCGCCCGGGGACCCCCCCGTCCTTCTGGCATCCCCCAAGGTCTCCTCTTCTCCCTCTGCAGACACCTTCTCTGACCTCACCATGGCACGGCAGGGCTACCCCCGCATGGCCTTCTCTGCCTGCTTCGGGGGCATCATCTTCAGTATCCTTTGGGTGCCGGGGAGAGGGGCTGGTGGTACTTGGGGCAGGGACCCCCGGGAAGGAGCTGGGCAGGATCCAGCCCAGAGGCTCTGGGACCTTGGCGGGGGGTGTGTAGAAGCCAGAGGAATGGGCCCAGCACCATCCCCCCATCCCCACCGCTGTCCCAGCCCCAGCGGGCTCAGGGGCTTGGGCTGGGGTCTGGCAGATTCTGGATCTGCTGAAGGGAAGGAGGGGAAGAGGCTGTGCCACCCTCCGGGAGGCTTTGCGTGGTCCCCAGAGCAGGCTGCAGCATCTCCTCCTCGACTGCTCCAGGCTCTGTTTGCCCCGAACATGCAACCCTTGGGGCCACCGACGGCCACGGGGCACAGGCAGGGTGGAGGGGGGCTGCTGCTGTCCCCGTCCCTGGGGTGGGAGGGACACCCAAGGTCCCCGGCGCTGCATGTCCATCCTGAACGTGCCCCAGACATCCTGGTGGGCGTCGGGCAGATGCCCAGCAGCCAGCTGGTGGTGAAGGGAAGGCTGCCGCGGCGTGGTGGCACGGGTCAGGCCGGCAGCAGGACCCTGGCGTCACCCCACGTTGCTCCCCATCCCTCCGGCAGCTGGAGCCTGACAGCCTCCTGGTCTGGATCCTCGCCGGAGCGCTGGGTCTGAGCTTGGTCTTCTCCTTCGTGTCGGTGCCCGCGCAGTGCTTCCAGCTGGGCAAGGCATACGGTGTCTGCCTCCTGCTCTACTACCTGGCTTTCCTCTGCGTGGCTCTGCTGACCGAGTTCAGGGTGATCCGTCTCCCGGTCCTCTGACGCATGCGCCCACCCCGGGGCCTCGCCGTCCCCTCTCCCCGTCCCTGCCAGGGGACCGAGGGCACCTCGACCCCAACCGTGCTGCCGCCACCGTGGGCGAGGGACACCGCGTGCCAGTCCGGCCCTTGACCTTCGCTTTCCGGAGCGGGGTGGGCTGGTTGTGCTTTGGGAAAGGGAGCTGTTAGTCATTAGCTACGTCCTCTCCCCGCTCTAATTAGCAAGGCGGCTCGGAGCAGCAGTGAGGTTAAGACCTCAGCTTCCTCCAGTCCCCGTGGCAGGGGCGGAGGAGAGGGCAGCTCCAGCCCAGGGTCACAACAGGAGAGGTTTCACCTCTCCAACCGCTTGACTTTGCCCTCCCTGTCTCTATCCTGGGTGCTCTGGGCCAGGGCAGTCCCGCTGCCCGGGGTAACGCTGTGAGGGTCTGAGCCCAAGTTTGTGGTTCCAAAGGCCGTGACGTGTTCGCACCGTGGGTGTGAAAGAGCAGCCGAGAGGGAGCGAGACAGGGTTACGGTGAGACAGAGCTCCAGGGCAGTGCTCGGTTTTTAATGCCAGCAAAGCTGGAGGAATAAAGAAGCCAGCGACCCCAGGGAGGCTGGCTTCCCCTGCTTTTTTAAGCTATGTTTTTCAATCTGAGTTTCAGATCCTACTTTTCTCCTCCTCCTGGGGTGGACAGAGCTGGGGGAAAGGACATGGAGGTTTCCACACACAGTGTTAGCCTCGGGCAAGACTAGGTTTAGGCACTGTAAGAAAAAAGGCAATAAAAAAAATCCCCACAAACCCAACCTCAACTTGTTTGCTGTGAGCGTAACGCAACCTTTCCCCAGCACGGGGAGGGGACAGGGAACTCCCGGAGCTGAGCCAGCAGCCCAAGAGCGGCCGGCGGAGCCGTTTTCCCCAGCGGCTCGGCGCGGGGAAGTGGTTTCCTCCGGCTTCGCCAGCGGTTGGTTTCCCAACAGCGGTCACACGCGCCTGACTCGGCCATTTCGGTCACACGGGCAGGAAGGGCAGCGTGGCAGGGGGGGTGGCA